AGAACCGGTTCTTAAATAAAATATTTTAGAGCCGGTTCTTAGTTTTTTTAGTTAAAAGTTAAGAGACGGATTCTTATATTCCGCTAAGAATTTCATGCTAAGAACCCTCCAATAAATATGCTCCAACACATTTTTGTTGATCACGAAAAAAAAAAAGTAAAGCTAACAACATTTGGCATGTATTTTAGTATTTATCTTTTTGCATATAGTCCTTTTAAAAAAAACATTTTGCATGTATCCCTTCAAGAAGAGAAAAAAAAACATATTGCATGTACTCTGTTTCAATTTACAAAATCTGAAAAACATGTAAGAAGCATTAAAGTTACTGGCATGGCGACATCGACATGACATATGAACAGTAAAATCAACAGTTGTAGCAACAGAGAAAAGGAATATCTGAACGCACAAGGTATCTTCCTTCATTTTGAACTTTAAAAAACACAATCTCGTAGTGCGATCAAAGAGTTATGCATCCCGGTAAGCAAAATATATTTAAATAAAAAAAGGAATTTCGTACAAATTATCCTCTATAAATTCTTCAGTACCCAAAACTAAAGTTTTCATACTTGCACCTACAACAACACAAGTGAGAAAAAGATTTTTAAGAACAAAGAAAAAAATGAGAGCGACCCCAAAAGTAGAAATATGGAAGTCACCAATACCATACCTCTTTGGTGGTTTGTCTTTGCTTATTTTGCTTATAGCTTTAGCATTACTCTCATTGGTCTGCACAAACAAAAAATCTTCTCCTTCTTCATCTTCTTCTAATGATACCAATCCCATGGGCGAAGAGGACGACACCGGAGACAACAAAGCTAAGACTATTATGATAGAGTACTTACCTAAGATCGTAGTGATTTTGGCCGGAGATGATAAACCTAGTTGCTTGGCCGTTCCGGTGATTCCTCCACCGTCTTCCATTTATCCGTGTAACTGCGGCAATGTTACTGTCGTCTCAACCTAGTTACATCTCTTTTTTCTTTTGCCAACACAAAGAATAAGAGCTTTCAACTTTTGTAATAATCATCGGCAATTTTGTAGTAGTCGACTGTTTTTGGTGGGTGGTAGTATAGATTAAATTTTGTTTAATGCTTTTTTTATGAACTGCAGAAGTTTTGTTTCATCTTGAGATTACCATCGAATATATTTGATGTAGTTTATGAATTATATATCTCTTTAATACGATGTTAAGACTTTAGAATATGTAATTTGTTTGTAATGGTTTTAAGATCTTTACTACAACTTACTACAAGTCCTCGACTCCTCCTACAATGTGTTCATCAGCAATACTGCTAAGCATAGCACGCTACTAATTACAGATCATAGTTTAATGCTGTCGGCTAAATAGTAAAATAATAGTAGGAAATAATAAAAAGCATGCTTTTAACTTTATGTGGCATTTTGTTATACAAGAGTATAAGAAAATATAAATGACGCATTTGCTAACTTTCACATTGATTAGAAAGTATTGGTGGACGCCGCGGCCTGAAAACGCAAAGAGTTGGACGGTCCAAAGTGGATATTACTTTTGCTTTTGTATGGCTATTAAGTGGTTGCCACTCTTTTCTTCGGTGCACTTTAATTATGCTGCTTAGTCATTTAGGTTTTTATATTTTATTATGTAAATTGTTGGTATTGGTCACTATAAAACTGTACTGTATATAGTTAAAATATAGTATATGAATTGCTACTTTCAATCCATTAAAGAGTTGATTTGGTCATACTTAGTCCAAAAGACAAGTGGGTTAAACGCAACTTAACCTTTTAAAAGTTTTTCGAAGCAATAACAATTTTGATGGTTATATTTTGATACCATGAGGTGGTCATGACATATATAACTTACAAAAAAAAATTAAACTGTAGGCCTGAACAAAAAGGAAAAAGAAATGGATGAGGATTCAAGGTTTATAAATTCTGTACAAACTATAATTAAAAATTGCCTTTGTTAGCAAATGAAAAGTTTTTTTTGTCAAAACAGCCCTTCAACATATTTATGGATTTGAATGGTTATCTATATACCGCTACCGTCAATAATGGTATCTTTGTAAGTTTTCTCTTCCACTTGTAAGTGTTATTAATCACAGTCAGCAATAATTTAAATGTTTATTCAGTTTTGTTATTTTTAAATTTATGTTACTATCTAGCTTTTATCTATTTACAAAAGCAAAAACATAAATTACATACAAAAAACATTTTTTCTGTCAACATTTTTATTAAATCCTTAAACCAACCATGATACAACATATTGTTTCTTGTTAACTCTTGCTTGTGATTCACAAAAAAAAAAAAAAAAAAACTCTTGCTTGTTTAGCAAGAGTATCTACAACATGGAGACAATCCCTAAAGACATAATAAAAAGTGAAATCTGTGTGCATTGAAATCTCTAGAACATCATGCAACACAAAAGGTAGCCTTTGTGGTAGATACATTTCTGATGGTTTGTTCAGTTGTAAATTGAAGCAACTCATCAAACAAAATTTTGCAATCACCCATGAAAGCAAACTTCAGCTAAGTCTGATGATTTGCTGTGTTCATCAATAAGCCATTGTCTCAGCTTTTACAGTGAGTTAATATACTTCAACGAAGAGCAATAATCTTGTAGGATTTGAATGTCTTCTTTTCTATATAAGAACCATCTTTTTTTTGGTCAAAATATCATTTCTTCAATAGAAAATTTTCATGAAGCATCCACCAAACAATGCATTCCTAACTATTCGTAGTGCAGTAAAATAAATTTAATTTCTTGTGAAAAATAGTTATGCATGATACAGATAGTGTCGGACGCATAAATAATTTTTTTATGGATCATAATTAATTTATTATAAGTAATATAAATATGCATAAGAATCAAAATATCTTATATAATAAAGTAGAGTTTTTTTTATAGGGACAAAAATTGGCACTTGTCATGCAATCCTTTATTGAATATTTTTGAGGCCTTATAAAAAAAATATTTTATTTGTATTTTTTTGGTTTTTACAAATAATAAATATATATCATTTCATTTTCATATATATCTCCTCATTTAATTTTGATAAATTTGATACTTATATATATATATATATATATATCTAAATAGCTATAAAATGTTATTAATATTTTAAAAAAAAATTATATGTGTGAAGAAATCGAAAATTATATAAAATTATATCATAGATTATAAAATACAGCATACTTTAAAAATAAAAAAAATTAATAAATTTGATTTTTTAATATATTTATTTCTGAGTATACATATCTTATATAAGTAAGTACCTATAATTATATTGTTTGTTTCTATTCAAAATAGAATTATTGTTATATTTTCTTTAACACTTAATATATTTTGGATGAGATTTAGTACTATCATATCTAAAATCACATTTAAATTATATGCAATATATATTATATACACTAAATAATATAATATAATAAAATTAATATAAATTTCAAATTTAAAACTAATAATTAATATCTATACAATAAATTAAATATTTTTATCTTATAGGAACATGTTTTAAAATAATAAATCTAAATAAAGAAACTTTTGTAAACTAATACTCTTATATATTAATAAATTTTCAAAGTCTCAACATATTAATTATTGAGATTCTATTAGTATATAGATCTGTAGACCAACCAATGTGTTTATCAAAACATGCCTTTTATTTAAATCGAATTTTTGTAATGTTTATCTTACATTATGGTCGATAAGAAAATAAAAACATTATGGTTGATAATAAATATAATATTCATTGTATAAATACTGAATTTTTTTAAATATTGTTTTTTGCTTATATATCGTTTTAGTATTTAGATGCATCGAATTTAAATATATTAATTATTTACTGCATAACTTGTATGCTAGGAAAGTAGGAAGTAAAAGACCAAAAAAATACATTGTATACAATATGTGTGAGTAATTGGTCATATGTGTATTTTGTTGATTCTTATAAACTACGTGACCTTAAACTTTTAGAAGTGACGCAATGATAAAACAATTGTAAAGGTTTTCCTTGAAAACAATTGTAAAGGTTTTCCTTGAAAACAAGTCACAGAGAAGACATAATGATATTGGTAAAATCAATAAAGTTTGTAATGTCATATGAACTGAAAAAAGTAATTGGTCAAATAGGTAATCGGGTCAAGCCGACCACTGTTTCTCTATCTTGGATTGTCTTTTAATATACATTATTTAACTGCTTCTCTATGCACTATTTAAGTTGATCAATATTCTATAAAATAAATCACCTTCATGATCACACAATCTCATTGATAACACATCAAATTCTTATTCCAATAGTCTTTTCGCCAATCTCTTTTTCACGGTCATAATTTTATAAATTTAAAAATAACATTCACATAATCATTAGTTATAAATGATAAACAATGACTATGATAAATACTTTAACTCAAATAACAAATACGTCCTCTAGTAATAGTAAAATAAACAGAATTTTTAATCGTCTCATTACAACAGTTACATTGAAAGTAAGTCATAGATTTTTATAATTTATAGATTTCATAGGGATCGTCAATTGGTAAGTAAGTTTCATCCAATACGACGGTCTCCATTGAGTAAAAAAGCTGCTAGTTCTTACGAGCAATCCTCAAAATCTAAATCGAATTTATTAACAAAGAACAAATGATCTCTAGGTCTTTGAAGAATCCTCAAAATCTAAACCGAGTTTATTGACAAATTAATAATCTGAAGGCAGTTTTCATTGGTGGGCTCCGAGTTGGATCAAATAACAAGTGGACTATCTATAAGTTTAATGTTAGGCTTTTTATGAGTATTGTTCTGTCTTCCACGATCTTTTCCTTTTAAAAGATCCGGAAATAACTTTATTAACAAAAATTAGAAAAATTAGTAATTGCAAGTAACCGCTGTATTTTAAATTTATTAAAGATACGTCCATGAATAATTTTACATAAATTATTTGAATAGAAAGAAAAAAACAGAAATTAGAAATTCCTCTATCTAATTAGAAGAGGAAACATTGTTTCGAGTGAACTAATTAGGTGAAACATGTTAAATGACCGAATGCAGAGTAAATAAAAAGGTAATTCCATTATTATTGATAAGAAAGGGTGAATATACATTAATGAATGATATAAATAAATATTAACCCCCTTACAACAAAATCACATGAAATGTTCTTACCTACTCAATTTCTTACATTATATATTTTTCTTATAATCTACATAGAACGAATCTTTTGAGCTACATTTCCCAGTTCCATTTACTGGCTCCATACATAAGGAAAATTAAACTCATCTCTTCACGCAGTTCCAGCTAGTAATCTCCTCTTAAGTTCCATCCTGCAATAACCAATATCAACATTGTTCAGCTAAATACAAAATCCATGTTAACCAGACTATATGATATGTATATTTTTAAATATGTTTTGAAGTTAATTAATTACCTCATGAGTTGACGGTCAATGGCTCCAGTGGCCATCATTCCCCGGTTCTCATAAGCACGTCGGACAAGATACGGTATAGCGGTTTCCACCGGTCCGAATGGCATGTACTTGCTAACATTGAACCCGGCTCTCTTTAAACCGAATGACAATGCATCTGACATACCATATAGCTGCGCAAACTCTATCTTCCCGTTCTGTTTATCGATGTTGAGCTCACTCGCCTTCTTTGATGCAAGTCTCCCTATAATTTAAAACATTTCTCTAATCAGCAATCTACTTCATATTAAAGAAAACAAAACTATAATCCTGCTTTTAAATTTGATTCAGTCAATTTATTCTAAAAATCGGTTTAAACATAACTATATTTTAAGAAAATTGCATCTACTAGGCACTAATCTTCTATAACGGTCGATTTTTTAAAATATTGGAACCAATGGCTTACCAGAATCAGCGTTATGTGTTGCAAGAACAACACCAAAGCCCGAGCCGTTTGAGGCTTTCTCCATTAGGAAAGTCATGCAGTTATTGTAGCAAGCGTGCGTGTTCTGAATTGTGTCGTGGACTGGTGACTTGTGCCCCAAGGAATCTGCTAACCTAGCTTCACTAGACATATAAGCACCTCTCACCAACTTAAACCCCATAGGAACATTTTCTCTCTCAGCTTCTTGAACAGCCAAATGCAACCTCTCACCAGCATCTCTCAAGTAGGCCTGAACCGTGTTGTAAACAATCGGTCTGTCTTTGTCCGCATTGAACAAGATCGCTGATGAGTAAGCCATGTAGTCGATCGCAGGCTGGAGGATTGTGTCTTCAGCATCGATCAACAAAGGTACATTGGACTCTTGACATTTCCTACAGATCTCTTGGATCCTTACGTGGGCTGCTTCAAGTTCACGTTCTTCTTCGGCGGTTAAGGGTTGCGGTTCAGAGTTTGTGTGGTAGAGAGGGCTTGAATCGGAGAAAACCGGAAAAGACTTGAGCTTCCATGAGAGTTTGAAGTTCTGAGTCTTGTATTCCCAACGAAGCAAATCACTCACTCGTTTTAGAAGACTGATGGGACAAATCGCGGTTATCTTCACGACCACTGAGCTAAACTGTTAGGACAAAGAGAAAACAAAAAAAACAGGTTACTATTTTTGGCAAGAAAAAATAAATAATAAACAGGTTACTATAAAACCAAAGATAATAGATAAACCGGAAGAAACCGGGTTTTGGTAAAGGGAGAATATTCCTAAAGTGAAATACTTAGCTTTCTGACGAAAGTTCTAGTCCATCTACTAGGTCAGGGACCTCGTGCGTATAAATCTAGTCAGATAGTGACGTAATGCTTTGAGTTTATCATCTCATCTTAAAAAAATATTTTCTGAAAGTAAATAAATTAAACGCAAAGTCATTTTCATAAAAATAAGCTAAATTAAATAAAAAGCAAGTTGGCTGTGTATACTTGCTACTTATCAAAGGTTTTGAAAACGCGTAAAGTAATTTAGTCAATTTATTAGTATTTAATATCATATAATATGCACGTCTATGTAACTGTTGCAAGTGTGTACTTTGACAGGGTACGGAGATTTGGCTGCCGAACCAACTTGTCCTAATTTGATAATTACTTCTCCATTAAAAATGATTTGTTTTCATATGGAATAATTAAGCTCGAGATATGGAATAATATATTTTTCTTTTTGTCTTTTCTAATACGATTTAAAAATAAATATTCAAGAATGTAAAAATAAATAAAAACAGAGGAACTATGAAATGATATAAAGTTGGTAAGATTGCTTACGTGGGACGTTGGTAAGGATTTGGCAGCTTCAATGGTCCGAATGAAATGTTGCATGTTATCATTACAAGAGGCAGCATCATCGGCATGTTCCACGCCGTACACAAGCATACCTTTAAGACCCGTCGCCTCGTAAACGCTACTAACGCGTTTCGCGGCTGCGTCAGCGTCTTCACCGGCGCAGAAATGGTCATAAAACGTACTTTTCACAAGTCCAAGGACCATACCACGTGTTAACGCGTTGTCCATGAGTTTAGAGCTCATGACCCACGACCCAAGATCCACCATAGGACCTATCGCCGCCGCATGCAACACGGCGGTGGAGCGGAGGAGGTCAGAGGTTGGGACAGAGGCAAAGAGACGGGCTTGGTCGGAGAGATCGATGTCATGGTGAGCTTCGTTTGGTTTTGGGTGGTGGACAGGCGGCTCTGGCGCTTGTTGTCCGAAGGAGAGTATCTCAGGGACGACGGCGGTTGAAGCGGTCACGGTGGGCTGACCCACCGGGCTTAAAGCGGAGGAACGGTAAGGACGACGGATAAAGTTTGTTCGGAGGAGACGGGCTGCCATAAAATTCAAAGATGTTTTTGATAAAACGAAAATAAAATTGTATTTCTTCTCTTTTGATATGTTTCTTTAGGCTTCTCGCTTTTATCGCTTTTTTTTTCCTTCTCTCAAAGCTTTGTTGTGTGATTGATGTCTCCTCCTTCGTTACTGCCACATATATTTATAGAAGAGTATAAAACTATATGCATATACATACACGTTTAACGTGTTCGATATATATAGAAGCCAATGTGTATTGAGATAAAATTAAATCATCTAAAATTACAACGGAATCTTTATAAAACAAGTCAAATTCTTGAATTTTAACTCAACAATATATGTTACCGTAATAATTACGGACGACAAAGACAACCAGGCACTGACTATAGGATGAGTCATTGGATAAGTATTTAATTGTTATAATATGATGACTTTATTGTTTTTTTAATGTGAGAAAGGAAATTTCTGGAGAGACGGTGGAGAAAGATATGAAGGATGAGTGGATGGTGACTCGGATACAACGCGAGGACCTGGACTTGTTCTTTGAATCTTTGACTTTTCTCTATTGGAATCTCCGGAATCTTAGTGTTAACTAATTTGAATTAATCAGTAAATATTCCATCCTAATAAAAGTAAGTAGTTAAAAATAGATTTGAAATTAAAAAAGCGTTCACTTTAGCTCAACCTGGATTTTTATTCACCCATTATTTTCCTTCTATTCGTAAAAATATGCACTAACTAAATTGTAGAATACTGTGCTAGTGTATTAAAATAAGTAGATTATTACTATTTTATTTGTTAACAGATAATTCGTTTATGCATGTGGTTTTTAAAATATCAGATTTATCCAGCTTACGAATTGTTACAAATACAAATTTTTCCTTTTATTAGATGATATTCTATATAATATCATGTTATTTGTCTGAATCTTGGGAAACATACATATCTTTATTTCAAAAAAGAAAGCTCAGATAGTATCCATTTTCTCAAAAAAGAAAAACACACATATCTTTATTTACAGTTTTTTTCTAGTTTTGCCCATAATTTTTGGTCTACCGAACAAGCTTTTATAATAGCACTTGTGAGTGTTGTCAGAAAAAAAAGCACTTGTGAGAAAAAAATTAGTGAGGACTTTATTTTTATATTATAGTTGAGCTTTCAATGTTAATTAAAATTAACTCATTATTACTGTATTCTTCCTACCCAAACCACTTGACGCAAAAGTGAAGACGAACCAACCAAAGCTAACAATAAGATACAAATATACAACCGTACCTTTTCAAAAAGTTTTATTACAGAGAATCTTTGACAGAAGCAGATCTTTACAAAAAATAAGCAATAGAAAGCAAATGAGCGGGACCCATTCGTCCCCCAAAAATAGCAGTGCTACCAAGTTTTGGCAAAACGATAAAGAAAAATAGTTTATTGAGGAATTTGAGCCGTTAGATTGAGGAGGCGAGAAGGTAAGAGGGTCACGTGAGGAAGTAAAGAAGTTAGGTGAGCATTGGACACGAAAGTCGCCAGCTGTGGCCGCCATTTCAATTGGTCCAGCCCAACCTTTCATGCAATATTCATTTATAACTATTAGGGATAATATATCCCACATCGGGAATTCAATGGGACCTTAACTAATATATAAAGGGTTAGGGCCAATCTACTTATCACCAATTGGTTTTAAGTTGGAAGCCCATAATAAACCCGAATTTATCATGGTATCAGAGCCGGCCCACACCCTGACCCATTAATCCGGCCCAGAAAGTGGCCCGATCAACCCATTAACTGATGGCCCAGAGAAGGCTCAGTTCTATCGAGATTGCTAGAAGAAAAAGCATTGTCTCGGTAGGGGTATGATGGATTCTGCGAGATTAATGGTTAGACCCACCATTATCTCGAGGGAGGGTGTTGGGATAAAGATCCCACATCGAATATATGTAAGGGACTTGAGTAATATATAAGGGACTTGGACCAATCCACTAATTGCCAATTGGTTTTAAGTTGGAAGTCCAAGAAACTTATCAATAACTTTTTGCCAAAGAATATTCATTTTATATTTCAAAAACAATAATTAAAATGCATTTAAGTTCATTTGTATTTTTTTTTGGGTGCTGAAGTGAGTCTTTTGTTGATTCTGTAATAATGACTTTGATGGTAAAAAAAAAAAAAAGACTTTGATGGTAAAGTAGTTAGATGTGTAAATCAGACTGCATTATGCAATATTGGTGTCATGGGTTACCTTGGTTGGTAATAACTAATTACTCAGATAAACTATTCAATTCTATCTTCATTAAATCAAATAATTGGTACTTAAACCGAACCAATTTTTAATATGGTCAAAACTGATTTTCTATATCTAAAGAAACAAACCCCAATATGAACTAAACCGTTCAGAATCATAATTCATATAAAATAGTTTTGTATTCTTGTGTTTGATCTTTTGTTTTAAGAAAGTTTTTTCTTGATTTATGATTTAAACTTTTCAAAAATNTAAATCAAATAATTGGTACTTAAACCGAACCAATTTTTAATATGGTCAAAACTGATTTTCTATATCTAAAGAAACAAACCCCAATATGAACTAAACCGTTCAGAATCATAATTCATATAAAATAGTTTTGTATTCTTGTGTTTGATCTTTTGTTTTAAGAAAGTTTTTTCTTGATTTATGATTTAAACTTTTCAAAAATGAGATAAAAGGCAACTGCCTTAGGACCAGTAGGATAATTCATGTGTCTAGATCTTATTACTACAATTTAATCTTCAACATGACTATTATTTGAACTATAATTTCCAGTTATTTTGATTTTGACAGTTGGCCTAGTAGTTAGCTTTAATGCATATTAAAATTAAGCCATAGGCCTCTTAAAATATAGGCAAGGCACTGTCTGTGTATATGATCAAACGCTTTTTTTTTTTTTTTTTTTTTTTTTTGCAAAACTGTAAATATCATATAAAATGAAGGTTTTAGGTTACAAGAGCCTAGATTGTGTAAATCTTGGCAAAAAGAAATAAAAACAAGGTTTACACTAGAGTAGATTCAATGAACAAACTCATATGATCAAACGCTAATAAGATAGAACCGAGCATATGTCAGTGTCATGGACCTATTGTACAACAAAAGTTCACGATTTCTTAGTTTCCACCCTCGTCCGTCAATAGAGAGTTGAAACTAGAATTATAAACAAAATATATACTTTATAACAACTATGGGAACATCGACTGTCGTTGTTGTTGTTGTTCCATGTTGCCTATAAAGTGAGGTAATTTAATTACCTTATTTCTTCTCAAAAACTATGGGAACATATACATAAATAGATAACACACAAATTCAGAATTTATCACCCAAAATACATTTTAGCAGCTAGATATTCATATTATTTTCTTGGACAACAATCTTTTAATTATTTTGTAATTATATATTCTTAATACATTTTTCTGTTGTGTAGTATTTTTCGTGGGGACTACATACCTAGTGTAAATCTATCTAGTACTTTTACTATATAGAATTGTGAATGCAACAAGTTGAGTCCTTCCAAAACCCCACATGCCAAAGGTTTTTATAATAATGAAAATGCCAGCCCATGAGCTGCCAAGTTAATTTAATTGTGATGAGTCAACAATGAGTAGATGCCAACAATATTAGAAACTTCCCAAATGATTAAATTATATACATAATATCTCTGCATTCCACATATTATTCCAGTATGTGGAAGTAGAACTGTCTATCAAATTCACAAATGTATGTATGTGGACTACCTAGTTAGAATATACTTATGTGTATAAGGAAAATTATTTAGTTGGACGCCACAAAAATGCATGATTAGTAGTTAAAAGTCAAATAGATTACTACATGAATGAATACGATAAAATAGATCAACATGTTAACAGAGAGGCTAAGATTTGAAATACCAAAGACAATAATGTATGGTCTTTGGTCTTTCATATAGAAACTTTGGTATAGAGCTATTTTAAGATTCAAGTCTTTTTGTGTTAACATCAGATTCAACACAAACTCGTATAATGTATATATTATGCAAAAAAAATCTCAACACAAAGAAGTGTTAATTGGGTCAAGTAATTTACTTACATTTTGAACGTTCAATACCACAACCGACTGAAAAAAACGAAGTCTTATCTCCCAACCGACTGAGTAAAAACGAAGCCATATCTCAACCGCCTGAATAAAAACGAAGACATATCACAACATCAATATCTGATAACAAGCAAAACTAGAATACAAATTTTTTTATTAAACAAAGAAAAATAAGTGCCGACCAATTATTTTGAAAGAAGTAAAAATGTTTGTTTAGGTCAACCAATGTTTAGTGGAGAATGAGTGGTGCAACTTGCGCACTTCATACCAAACTCCAAGGTATTGTAAATCACAAGCAAAGTGGGATTTTCATGAATTTAGTCACATCTCTATGTGTCGGTTTGTGTCGGCTTGACTCGACTTTTCTTTCTTTCTTTTGCACTTTATACTAATGTTAACGTATTATCAAGGATGAATACTTGATACCAAAAATCATACACCAAAATAATAGTATAATTTAACCAACACGGTACTTTTCCATTACGAAACCTAATCAAAAGTGGACATGCTTTGGATTCTTACCAGAATATGGAAAGATGAATCCCGCCGGCAAATTGAATAAAAATTCAAAATACATTAAATAGTTAGTAATCAAGTACGTCAAGATATTATAAGATTTGTGAATTTAATCCAAAATATTACTCCATTTGTTTCTTAAGGAGAATCATTTTAGGTTTTTTATTTTATTTCAATAAAGTGTCACCAAAATAATAGTATAATTAACCAATACTTTTCCATCACGAAACCTAACCAAAAGTGGACATGCTTTGGATTCTTACCAGAATTTGGAAATTGGAACGATGAATCCCGCCGGCAAATTGATGAAGAAAATTTCACAATACATTAAATAGTTAGTAATCAAGCACGTCAAGATTTTATAAGTTTTGTGAATTTAATCAAAATATTACTCCATTTGTTTCTTAAGGAGTATCATTTTAGGTTTTTTATTTTACTTCAATAAAGTGTCATGCTATAATCTCAATATAACTTTGTACATGAAATTGAGGGAGTATCTCATCCATGGATTTTGCAGTCCAAAATCTTCTTTTTAGTCTTTACGTTTTCGATGTTTATTTTACCATTCTTTGTATTTTGTTACATTTAGAGAGTTAGAGGCGTTTGATCAAAAAAAAAAAAAAAGAGAGTTAGAGGCGCTAATGAATATTTTGATGCATTTTTGAATTCATAGAGTGTACTTTGTTCTTCTTTTTGGTATTTTTGAAATTAATTAGCTAGTAAGTTTTACGTGAGAGTTATATCTAGGCCATATATTCTGAGCTCTCTGTGATTCAAATGACAGTTTAGTGAAACATATCATTACCGCCGACCAACACGTTATAAAGAAGTCAACGTAAACTATTTGGAAATTGATCCACACCTATCGACCAACACGTCGATGCTGACTCTCACAAAGTTTGATTAATAATGGGCCTAACCGTCTTTAGCTAAAACATTTGATAAGTAATCTAAGTTAGATAAAATTTTAGCAAAAAAATAAAAAGTAATTTAACTTAGAGTTCATGTAGTGGCCCATCAAATGTCCATATAATCAAATTTGTATGGTAGCACCAACAAAGATTATAGCAGGACTTGGTATGTCCCTTGGTATTGACATTCTAGAAGCTCCAGGAGCTACTGGAGATTACATGACACTTCTTACATCAAAAGCAGTTGCTATAGCTAATGCACTCTCAGCTCCTTTGAATCCTTGTCCTAATGTCTTTGTACCGGCAGAGAAGGGGCATAAACCGGGAAGATCAGATGGTTATGACTTCGGTTTCCTTCACATAAAGGCTATAGATGATGCAGGTCATGATAAGGCGACAATGTTCAAAGTTAGAGGCTTAGAAGCTGTGGATAAGGTCATACGTCAGCTTGCTAAGCTGATATGACTACAAATTATACAGAGCACAAAAAAAAATAGGTTTAGAGAGACATGATTCAATGTCTTTCCTTGAAGCTTTTATTGATAAAGCATAAGAAACATTACAAGTCTATAGGATGTTTAGGTATGAGACTGATTTTGTAAGTATTATACATCTCCCATTGCGTTCAAAGATCAACAGAAGCAAAATAGGATTCGTTGCATCACATATTACTACACCAATACGCATAGTGTTCATCTCTCCTATGGATGCTGACTAGACCACCGCATTTCAGACAAATAAAGCTGCTTCCATCAGCAAAGGCATCAAGCATGATCTGTGACCTCCCGTTTTTCTCTAAAATAGATGTCCCATGAGCATCCGCTGTAACTCTTTCTTTAGTACCAAATAAGTCTGTTGATGATGTTGTCTCAAGAGGCTGTGCTTCTGTAATGGCACACTCTGCAAATAGAGAAGCTAGCTGATCTATGCTGGCTGTTTCTTGGATTCTACGCTTGTAGAGTTCACGGGTACGGTTGAGTATGTGAAGTACCGCCTCATCTCCTCCTTGAGTTCTCATTGCCATCACCACCTGTTCACAAGATCATAAAGTGTCAATGCATGATATGTATGATATTTTCGCATTTCTGAAAGTCTAGAAGAAGATAGAAAAACAGAACTAGCAAAATATACTCCATCCGTTTCAGTTTAGTTGTCATTTTGGGTTTTTACACAAAGATTAAAAAAAATCTTTTGAAAACAAAAATTTTACTCTGCAACGACAACAAAATTGAAAGAGGAGTATAAATTTAACTCAACTTATACATGAGCATCTAAAACACAGATGTGTCTACTTTGTACAATTCTAAAAACTTGTTAATATGATAGCCAATAGATGAAAGGTGAATAGATAATTATTTTCAAACAGGCAAAAGCTATTTCTTTTAGTCACTTCACCAAAGAAGAGAGATAATTGGCAAATAAAAGGTTGTTATCTATGTAGGAAAGTATATGAAATTGTAATGAATCAAAAAACCTAAGAGGTGTACACATTCTAACCTTTACAAATTCATAGTTGTAACGATCATAAGGAATAAACTCAAGCAGTTATATGAATCCAAAACTTTGATTAGAGTAACAATCAACGAACCCTAATCAAAGTTATGGAAACAAACATGGTGTCTTCTAAAACATAAACAAGAATGACAAAAAGAGAGAAATGAAGAGGAGAAAGGTACAGCTTGGAGAGCTTGTGAAGGGTGGCCTTGATCAACGAGTCTCCGAGCGGCGGAGAGCAAATCCTTGGCGCTGGATAATGGTTTGTTGTCAAGAGAGAAAGTCTCACCGGTGTCTATCTCCATCGTATCGGCTTTGAAATTACCCTTCGTTGCGTTAATGCATCTGTAAAAAAAAAACAGGGGAGAAAGAAACCAAGAGACAAAAAAGAGAAAGAGAGAGAGACCAGAAGTTTCTAGGAGGAGTTCCGAAACTTCTTGTCGGATTTTACTATTTTCTCTCCTCGTACAAATTTAATTAATTAATTAATTTACCACCTCTCTTTTTACTTCGGTAACATTAATTTTGTTTTTCAAGCGAAAGAAGAAAAAAATAATAATTAACAGCAAATCCAAGATGTGCAGTTAAAAATTTGTAATGAGTCAATGGCTTAAGCTCTCAAGTCAAGTGAAACGAAATGTTGAAGCAATAGATTAATACACTAGCCTAAGTTTAACATACCACAACTTTTTTCATGTAGTTTTGACTCTATTCCAATATACTAGACTCTCTCTCTTCTATACATTTGACCTCCATCCCCCAACCCTGTACATTTGTTTCGATTTTTCTAGTGAATTACTTCTTCGCATAATGTTTTCAGTCTCTCTTCTTTAAACACATTCCCTAAAGGATCAAGTTATCAACTACACATTCATGTATATATGCTTTCAAAATGATCAAAACTACCAAACACTTAACTGGGCCTGCACTGTTCGGCCCATGTGTGAGTAGAACCCAGCAACTTTGCCGTTTGTGAGTGAGAGATGTATATAATTTATCCCACATCGCTTAGGTTCAAAAGGAAGGACTCGCTGAACAGAGTATAAAAAGAGAAGGGGAGAGAACAAGCAAATCACTTACCTGGACGGGGTCAACTCATGATCAAGAAGATGAGTGGCCTAGGCTAGTGACCTCCATTGCACATACCGGAGGGGTGCTTAGCCTAAGGTCTCCCCAAGTGGGAGAGCCTGCGTCATTATTTGTGGCAGAGGGAGCCTGCGTTCGCGCGGCTCCTACCAACCATTCTTACTTAAAAATAAGTTGTGTAGTTATTCCAGTAAATAACTTGTATCATGTTGTTCGTGAACACTATCGTATAAGATGCGGAAAGTAAAGTTTTCTTAATGGCTCTTTGGTAGGTCAAGCTATTTCTAATATCCCACATCGGATGTAGGTTTCAAGTAGGTCGGTCTTGTTATGACTATAAAAGAAAGAGACATTTCTTAAGTTTAAAATCATCTTTGCGCTTGGCGCGGTGACTCAGCTTATGAGATATTAACCGCGGCACGTCGTTTGCCGGTTGAAAACTATTTCCAAACCCCCTCATTGATCCTTTTTGATCTCTGAGAATTTCTGGAAGGGCTTCTTCCTTCGGGGTTACGCCCTACAATTCGTCACTTACGTATAGTTTTATGATCGATGACGAAGAAAACTTAACCATTTATTTGGGAAGTGGTTGTTATAGCTTTCACATTGTGATTATTCCCCTGCTAAATGTTTCCCTGAAACTATATGAATGAACTCACGTCACTTGCATGTGTGCTTCATCGGGTCAAGTCAAAGCTAAAGGGGCACCAGAAACGCATCACTGGCTTAGCATTTTCTACAACCCTCAAGAAACCCATTGTGTCAACAGAGAATAGAAATTCCTATTTTTTATTGTGCTATATACAATTATGCTAGTGTTTATCTCAAGCTGTCTAATTATTTCTCTACCGATCTATAACTCTATGGCTGAAGATGAGACGATAAAAAAGGTGATATAAGGGCTGTTCGTTTGGTTGACGCCTGGCTGCGTTGGCGTCAATTATTTTGACAAATTATGTTCGTTTTGTCGACGCGGATAATTGCGTCTAGACGCCGCGTTTAACGCTGCGTCCCGCGTTTAAATTTTTTTGACGCCGATTTTATCAGCGTTTTGACGCAGATTTCTGCGTTAATAGACGTAATTTACACGACTACCCTTACAATACTTCATTATTTACCAAAAGACCTAACCCTAATCTCATCTCTTTTGACGCAGCTTCAGTGACTCTGGACGCCAAATCTCATCTCTCGTCTCTTTCTCCCTCTCAGACCTCTCGACTCTCTCAGGATCTCAGGCTCTCAGGCTCTCTCACTCTCGACCTCGGACATCTCAAGCTCTCTCTCCGATCTACCCATCTCCGAAATCATCTCATCTCGAAGCTCTCTTCTCCATGGTGTCTCATCTCGAATGAAGCCTAGCCTCAAGCTTCGTCTCTCAAGCTCTCCCAAGCTTCTCACTCCATCTCGAGCTCTCTCTCTTTGAGGTAACAGTCTATTGTTCTCTATCTTTTAGCTCTGTTCTATTGTTCATTGTGATGGTCTTTGTGATAGCAAAGAGAATCTACCTCAGCTCGAGCTCTCTCATCTCTGGCTCGTGCTCTCTCATCTCCGACACAAACCTCAAGCTCTCATCTCCGGCTCGTGCTCTCTCATCTCCGGCTCGTGCTCTCTCATCTCTCATATCTCATCTCCTCTGAGGTAACTAAGACAAGAAGAAGCTGTTTTTTGTGTTTCATGAGTTTTTGAGAATGGGTTTGTTCTGATGGTGAAAGAGAATGGGTTTGTTCTGATGTAATTTTTTTTTTGTCTTGAGGTATTGGCTTGTGATAGCGTTAAGGGTTTCTTTGGTTTGTGTCTGATTGTGTTGTGTATAGTCTCCTTTGTTTTGTTTGGATTTATTTGTGTAACTCCAGAACAAAAAAACTCTGTTTTACAGTCTTTAAAATCATCATCTGTACAGAACCAGTTTCAGAAATTGCGTTATTTTGTTAGTTTGTTTCACTTTGGTTATGTTTAGTACTTAAAGATTGTGGTTTGTTTAGGTTTTTGTTCGTTTAGTCATTGCTGGGTCTGAGTTTAGTTGATAAGAGTTTGTATAATGCAGCTAAGAAATGCATTCGTAGTTTATGTATGGAATATGACAAGCATATGATGATTCGTGAGAGTCATGTTAGTACCTAAGGTTGCAGTTTGTTTAGCTTTTTGCTTCTTTTGATTGTTTGCTGAGTCTGAGTTTGAGTTTAGTTTTTGTTAGATAAGAGTTTGTAGGATGCGGCTAAGGAATTAGTTTAAGTCTTGAATATTACTACAAGCATGTGATAATCTTTGAGATGGAACAATTCTTGCAGGAAGCCATCAATGTTGCATTTTGCTTTTTGAAATTATTCATAGTTTTTTATTCTCATTCTGTTATTCTCTTCGATGGTATGATAACTGATGATGATTAAAATTGTTATATATGACGAAAGGAGTACGTAATTTTTGGTAAAGTAACATAACTATCTCTAGTATGATAGTTAAAATAAATCATTTGCGTCAGAACGTCTTATAGATAAAAAGATTATTGTTCCATGTTTTTGTTTTGTGATCAGATATATTATTTAGGGTCTTGAGTAACGTAAAGTAACCTCTAAAACTAATTGGTTTTGTCTACCATTGCTCTAACCATAGGCACGTGGTGCAAGAAGAATTTTCATAAATCCACGAGTTCCTTCATATATTGTGTCAAATTAGATTATTATATATAAGCATATACGGGTAATCGTAACTTATATTTTCAAAATGTTTGTAAAGGATCCTTGATAAACAGTAATAGATACGGAGATCCTTTATTTCAAGACAAAATCGTCATCGCCCAATTTGTCATCACTATGAATTGCTCGTGTTAATACTCATTGCTTATTTTTTTTTGTTTTTTTTTTACAGGTCTCAGGCTCGCATCCTCAACCCCTCTCCAAGCTCACTCTCTCGATGGCAAAAGATGTAAGCTCAGACCCTTTCCTGTTTGCATTTGTGTATAGAAATGTCTGAATGTGTATGGAATTTGAGTTTATGTGTATAGAACTGGTTTAGGTTGTATGTAACTTGAGTTTATAAATGGAACTTGTAGATGCTTAAAAGATGGATATTGGAAGATGAGGATGATGATTATGAAGATGAACTTGGTTTGTTTGATGTGGCTACTATTGAGAGATTGAGTCACATAACAGATCAAGGAGCGGGATGGCGTCATGTTCAACAACTTATGTATGAATCTGATCGGCAATGTTATGATATTCTTCGAATGAATCAAAGAACTTTTGNGAGTCACATAACAGATCAAGGAGCGGGATGGCGTCATGTTCAACAACTTATGTATGAATCTGATCGGCAATGTTATGATATTCTTCGAATGAATCAAAGAACTTTTGAAGCTTTGTGCAAGATGCTAGCTCAGCGATATGGATTGAAAGAATCTCACCATGTCTACCTTGAGGAATCTGTTGCAATGTTTCTCGAGACTCTTAGTCAAGATAAGACTAAGAGGGTTATTGCTGCAAGGTATCAAAGATCATTGGATACAGTACAAAGGAAGCTTGATGAGGTTTTGAGTGCTATTCTCAAGTTTGCAGCAGATACATTAAGACCACAGGAAGGCGAGTTTGGAAAAGTAAGTCCTGTTTTGAGGAATGATGAGCGGTATTGGCCTCATTTCAGAGATTGTATCGGAGCACTTGATGGAACCCATGTCCCGGTTCGCCCTCCAAGTCAAACCGCAGAAGCATATAGAGGCAGAAAGCAAGAGCCTACAATGAATGTTCTTGCTATATGTAACTTCGATATGAAGTTCATATATGCATATGTCGGTGTACCTGGTAGAGCACATGATACAAAAGTTTTGACTCATAGCGCGAGGAACGAGGCTTTTTTTCCACATCCTCCTCCTGGAAAGTATTATTTAGTTGACTCTGGATATCCGACCAGGTAAGGGTATCTTGGTCCGCATCGTGATATGCGATATCATCTTGGTCAATTTGTTACAGGAGGACCACCAGTTAGTGCACGAGAGCTGTTTAACCGAAAGCATTCAGGTCTACGATCAGTGATTGAGAGGACATTTGGAGTATGGAAAGCAAAATGGAGGATTTTGGATCGTAAGCATCCAAAGTATGGCCTGGTTAAGTGGATTAAGTTGGTGACAGCGACGATGGCGCTACACAACTTCATACGTGATTCACATCAGGAAGATCATGATTTTGTACATTGGCAAAGTGGTGATGATGGAGAAGGAGGAGAAGAA